AAGTTTTGGTCCCAAATTGCGATCGTTAAGTGGAGGACTTACCTGCTGCGGCTATTTCTTGCTTCAACAGCAGAGGGCGGCGTTGCTTTATTATTTAAAATGGTTTAAGTTGGCCGCCATTTAGACAGAATACAGAATAACAAGAGTTGGAAGGGCTCCTTAAGGTCTTCTAGTCCAACCCCCTTGTGCAGCAGTGTTTCCCCATTTTCTTCTTCTTCTTCTTCCCCTATAGGCCATTGCCAATGTGATCAGCATCAACGAAGCCAACAACCAGACCACCAAGATGCTGAAGAAAGCCTGAGGCCACTTCAGCCCCTCGCTCCCCACCCACCCCCCGCAGCCCCCTCCCTCCTTCACCAAATGCAACCACAGTTACCAACTTCCATCCTCAGCTGCGGAGTGGATGCCTTCCAATCCAAGCGATTTAAAACCACGTTTCCTGCGTGAATCTCATCCGTTTTCTGAACCAACGTGCATGCTTCCTGGTTGCTAAAGTGATGCCCACGCGAATGGCAAGGGAGGGGGGGCCTAACCACGGGTGCGTGTGTTTTTCCCTTGGCACAAGAACCCACCGGGCTGTCTCGCTGCCACCCAGCCCACTTCCTCTTTAATGGCTCAGCTGGCCGATGAGCAGCTGGAAGAACCGCTCTGTTTGAAGAGGGAAGGAACTTCTCTGAGAAACTGACTAGGCCACTTTCCAGATTCCCCACGGGGGAAAAAAGCTAGGGACGGCTATTCTTCAGCCCAATGGCAAAATTAAACACCACCACCACCACGCCCAATTTGACTTAGTGGGGCCAGGAATGTTTCTGTAGCTGAGGGCTACGGAGCTTGGGGAAGCCAAGAGCCCCGGTCAGACACTTGAGGTCATCGAAACAGAGATGGGGGTGAATGCCGAAAGAGAGAGGGGTGACCTCCTCTGCGCTATCAACCCAATGATGTTGCTGGAAGCGGGTCCATTAAAAAAACCCCAACAGTCCAGCGTTTTAATGTATATTTGGCCTCCACCCAACTTTCCTCTGGGCTCTGTCCGAGGGCAAAGGAGGAGAGAATGAAGTTGTCCACATGGCCAGGCACCAGAACCGGGCAAGGCTGGCATGGCCCCATGGGGGACGTTGGCCGGATACCGAGAAGGACCCCGGCCAGCAAGTGCAAGAAGGCAGCCCCCCTCCCCGTGCCCAGCCCTGTGCACCACCCCTGGAAATGTGGCTTGGCTTAACATATGTCACTGTGGATTTCAACACTGTGCCTGTTTTCCGTATTTTTTTAAAACCTTGTTTCTGACTTACGGCGTGTGTGATGGATTTTAAAGTCCAGGCAAATCATTGGTCTTTGTGGTGTTTGTTTATTCATGTACCCCGGGGCATCGCATACACTTTGGGGGGGGGGGGGAAAACCCCACATCTTTCCTTGCTCCTTCGATCTTGCAAGCACCCCCCAAAAACAGCTCTTCTCCGCTTTTGGAGTTTCCTAACCAGGAGCAGGGGTGGGGTGGGGTGAGGGGTCCCAGGAGGGTCTGGCCTCGCATTCCCGGCTCCCTCCTCAAGGCTTCTTGATTCTTCCAAGCTGATAGATGCAGTAGACCGCATAGCTCACACCTGGAGAGAAATATTCAAGAACAGGCGGAGTTAAACCCCTAGCTGGTTCCCGACTTACAACCATTTGTTCCGTGAGCTGCCGCACCAGTGAAACAGACGACCAATGGCCTGTTTTCACGCTTACGTCCGTCGCAGCGTTCGCACGCTCCCGTGATCAAAATTTGGGCTCTGGGGCACAACCGACTCATATTTATGACGGTCCTGGG